TTGTATAATAAAGCTGTTTTTTTTCTCATAACAGTACCAGGGCTTGAACTCAGGACTGTTTGCTCTTGCTTGGCTTTCTTGCTCACAGCTGGTGTTCTACAACTTGATTCATATCTCTAGTCTGGCATTTTGTTGGTTAATTGGAGAAGGAATTCTACAGACATGAACCACCTCTAGGTCTCAGCCTCTTGAGTAGCTAGGATTACAGGTATGAGGCACTGGTGCCTGGCATTGTAATATAGCTTCTATAGCATTTCTTCTGTCTTTCACATTTGCAGAAACATTTATGCAGCCTCTGACCTTGTTCATTGTTGGTGTTTGCATTAACAGACATTGCTGATAAAGCAATAGTTTACTTTTTAGACATGAAATGTTGGTTATCTTGAACAAATACATATGCCTGAATAAATACATATAGTCATGTTGGTATTATGTCATGTCTCAGGAAAGGTTTTGTGTACACTTTTACTATTCCACACATTAAAATAGATTAAATGTTTAGCTAGCATTTATAAATGGACATTATTTCTTTTTAAACTAGCATGGAGTAACAGAAATCTATTTGGTATATTTGCATTTAATACCTTCAGACATAAAAATTAATATTTATGACACTGAAATTCTGTTTCATGCTTTTTTGGTGATCTTACCTTGAGAAAGCAAAATATAGGGATCATCACTTTAATAGTCTAGAAATTTTATGGTTTCTGACTATGTCAACTCCATTAGCAATCGCTCCTCTCTAGTTTGCTTTGTGTAGCTTATCTTTCCTTTCTTGCGTAAGAACTCTGTGGATGATATGTGAAAGTTATTCTGTCAAAGTAGTTATCATTGCTATAATATTGTGTATGTCTCTGTGTGTGTTTGAGATTAAAAGAGGATTGCAATTGTAGCTGAAAGCTCTACTCTTAAGTACATCCCTCTGGATTTTCATCCTAGTTTGACAGGCTTACTTTCCACTCCCTGAATTAGAGGTAGAGTTTTAATGGTCTTGGCTGTATCTTTTTAGTGGACTTTACCTCTAGCAATATGTCTAGGGAAGCAGTTGTAATTTTGTAACGTTGTTTACTCCTAATGCTGACTAGTTTAAATCTGTAGGATCAAAGGATGAAGTAGGGTAGTTTGACACATGAAAACCTTGTGTTCTACTAACTTAATCAGGAGGCTGAAAAATTTCTTCATTCTTCAGAGTAAATCTGCTGATCTATCAGATATGGATGACATCTACTTAATTATAGGGGCATTTAGGATTTATTAGTTATCTTAGGTAAGGCAGAAAAGCATAAACATTTTACTTGTTTCCAGGTGCCTTTTAAGGTTTGCATTGCCTACTTTTTTTCTTTGAATCCCTTTACCTTTTCTTTCTCTTTCTTTCTTTCTTTCCTTTCCCTTCCTTCCTTCCTTCCTTCCTTCCTTCCTTCCTTCCCTACCTCCGTCCCTCTCTCTCTCTCCCTCTCTCCCTCTTTCTTTCTTTCTTCCTATCTACCTCTGAATTTACCCCTTCTAGGAATCTCAGTGAAGTGGTAAAATGTTCTTTTGTGTCTGTTTTTGTTTTCCACTTAGCATATTTTCCAGATTAATGAGTATTATATCATGTGTCAAAATTTGTTTGTTTGTCTTGAGGCTTGAATTCAGGGCTTGGGTGCTGTTCCTGAGCTTTGTTTGATCAATGCTAGTGCATTACTGTTGAGCTACAATTCTGTTTTTGGCTTTTTGGAGATTAACTGGAGATAAGAGTCTCGGACTTCACTTCCTGGGCTGGCTTTCAGCCATGATCCTCAGATCTCAGGCTCCTGAGTAGCTAGGATTACAAGTAAGCCACCAGCACCCAGCTATGTGTCAGAATTTTATGTCTGTGAAAGCTTCATAGCTTTCTATTGTGTGCATATACCATTTTGTTTATCCATTTATTTGTTGTTAGGTATTTGGGTTATTTCTACCTGTTGGCTCTTGTGAATAGCACTGCTGTGAACACGGTGTAAAAATTTCTATTTGACTTCTTACTTTCAGTTCTTTTGAGTATATACTTAGAAATGTAGGCATCTATGGTAATTCTGTGTTAATATTTTGAATAACTGGTACACTTCTTTCCACAGTAATTGCACCATTTTACATTTCGGCCAGCAGTTTTTTTCAGTTTTCTCACACCATTGCCAACTTTTTGTTTGTTTATTTATTTATTTTTTGCCATCATAATGAGTATGCCGTAGTGTCTCATTCTTATTTTGATTAGTCATATCTCTAATGACTACTAATGCTGAACATCTTTTATGGAAGATCAAGGTCTGCCATGGTCACTTCCTGGCTTGCTGGTATGGAGATATTTCCTTTTATTTTTTATTTTTATTTTTTTTAGTATTTAAATTATATCAAGGTATTTTTCAAGTTGACATAATTCTATTTAGACACAGCAGCCAAAGTAATTCTTTTCTGAACATAAGTCAGAACCCTGTTATTCCTCTGCACACAGCGTTCCACTGGCTTCTTTTCTCAAAGGAGAGTCCTTACTGATTTCCTATTCTCTGAGTAACCTGGGTCTCTGCTACTACTCTAAGTCCTGCTCCCAGATATTTCCTTTTATTTTATTTTATTTTTTTTGGGTCCTGTCGTGGGGCCTGAACTCTTGGTCTGGGTGCTGCCCCTCAGCATTTCAGCTCAAGGCTAACACTCTACCACTTGAGCCACAGCGCCACTTCGGGCTTTTTTTTCCTGCTTATGTGGTGTTGAGGAATCGAACCCAGGGCCTTAAGCATGCAAGGCAACCACTGAGCCACCTTCCCAGCCCCAGATATTTCCTTTTATAAGGGTACTAAATCATAATGCGTTAGGGCCCCACTCATATGATATTATTTAACTTTAATTGCCTCTATAAAGACTCTATGTCCAAATGTAGTTAGATTGGCAATTAAAGTTTCAGTATGTAAATGTTAGGTCCTGGGGAGAGGCACAAAGTTTCAATCCACAACATAGGAAGTCTTGTTGACTTTCTTGCCTATTTCTAATTCCTCAACTGTGTGAGTGGTGCTAGAAGCCTGGTAGACGGATTCATTTTTAGTCTAGAAAGAAAGAAGAGAGGCACGGAGAAGGAGAGGGAGATGGAGGGAGAAGAGCGGGAAAGAGATTTTACAGTTTAAGTGCATAGGGAACAAAGAAACCACCCTGATGTCTAATAATGTGTTAGCACAGAGTTGACTGTATTGGAAGGGTATCTATTTCTTGATCACTTACAATATTGTCATCACATAAGGCAATCAAGGGGACTCACAAAAGGGCAATTGAGCATAAGGACGAAATAGTCACTTTTAAGACTGTAGTTATTAACCTGAGTAATCAAGTAGAAAGAGTATCTAAAGTAGCTATTTAAGTAAAACCAGTAAATAAAGACACTGAAGCAAAGGAATTGTATTGTATATGACTTCTTATTTTCAGTGCTAGAAGCTAAAAGATGGTGGAATGCAGATCATTAAAGGGGAAGAGATTTTACCACCCCATAATCTCAAACCATGTAAAATATCTTTCATCTGCAAGGGTGAAGCATATTCCTGGACATATAAAGACCATAGTTCAGAAAACTATGCAACAGTTACAAAGAAAAAAATAAATCTCTGAAATCTCGGTAACTAACATGTAGACATTAGATGGATAGAGTATTGATAAAAGTACTAAAAGGGCTGGGTGTTGGTAGTTCATCCCTGAAATCCTAGCTACTCAAGAGGCTGAGATCTGAGGATCAGAGTTTGAATCTAGCTCTGGCACAAATGTCTGTGGGACTCTTACCTCCAATTAATCACCAAAAAGCCAGAAGTGGAACTTTGGCTTAAGTATTAGAGTACTAGCCTTGAGCAAAAACGCTTAGGCACCGTGCCCAGACTCTTGAGTTCAAGTCCCAGGACTGGTAGAATAATCGAACACTTGCCTAGTGTATGAAAGTCCCTGGTTTACATCCCCATCACTACAAAAAACCTAAGACTGTAGTTAAAAGGGACTAAACGAGGCTGGGAATGTGGTTTAGTGGTAGAGTGATTGCCTAGCATGAAGCCTTGGATTCAATTCCTCAGTACCACATAAACAGAAAAGGCTAGAAATGGCACTGTGGCTCAAGTGGTAGAATTCTAGCCTTGAGCAAAAGAAGCTCAGGGACAGAGCTTAGGCCCTGAGTTCAAGCCCCACTACTGTCAAGAGAAAAGGGGGGACCAAATGCAGGGAATTTATAATACATAATACAGGGATATATTGTTTTAACAAAACTTGAGTCGAGGGAGTAGCAGTTGTGTGGGAATGTACAGAGTGGGATTGATTAAGTCTTCTACATGGCTCATTAATATTTTAAATTATGTATTTTCAGTGAGTGAGGGCTGTTTACTAGGGAGAATAAATGGATGATTTGCTTACTTATGAGAAATATGGTTTTGCTTTTGAGTATCATCAGTAAAAGGCTGTAAACCACTAGTAAAATGCTAAACGATGGCCAAGTGTTGTGACTCAGGTCTTTAGTTGAGTTTGTGGGAGGTGGTGATCAGGAGAATCTTATTTTGAGAGAGTCTGTGCAAAAAGTTAGCAAAACCACCATCTCAATTTATGACCCAAGGGTGAGGTTACACATTGAAACTCCATCCCCAAGGGAGGCTTAAATAGGATTGCTATCCTGGCTGGCCTGAGATAAAACTGGATATTTTGTTTGAAACCTAGCTAATGGCTCAGGGCATGACCCTCCTTCTTCTGATACCCCACATCCAACAGAGGCTATTGATAGGTTATGTAAGTGAGTTTATAACATAGTTATAAAATATAACGATTATTGCTCAGCCTCATAGGGTGAGTTAAAGGTTATCAGTGATTATATAGATTTTGAGAAAAAAGTAGAAGGTATACACACACACACACACACACACACACTCACACACACACACACACACCTAGAATAAAACACACTAAAGGTATTTAGGCATGTGCATAACAATTTCTATGACTTTAATTTGGAGCTTGTTCTTACATTTCAGGACCGGAAGTTAACCAAAGCTGAGCAACAAAGGTTCAAGGAAGAAGCAGAGATGTTGAAAGGTCTACAACATCCAAATATAGTTCGATTTTATGATTCCTGGGAATCAATATTGAAAGGAAAGAAATGTATTGTATTAGTGACTGAACTAATGACATCAGGAACCTTAAAGACGTAAGTTGACTCTGGTAGAGCCAACCAAGTTTTATTTGAAATAATCCTCAGAGAAATTACTATGCTGATGATTTATGCATAAGAGAACTGCGCGGGCGGTCAGGAGTTGAATCAAGCTGTTGGACTTACCTTAAAAGTGATCCCAAAATTTGCTTGCGGAATGACATTTCAAAGATTTTAGATGTGGTGTCATCAATAATTCTATAATGGTGCTAAAAGAAGCCCAAATAAAAGATTTGTGGCATTGCTGATGAGTTCTTGTTGGGTGTGCCTGCACTGGAGGTTGAACTCTAGACCTGGTGCTTTTCCACATTAGTTTCAGCTTTTTGTTGTCATTTGGACATAGCAACCAGTCAGTCCTAAGATCTCAACCTCCTGGGCAGTGGTATGGCTTGAATTGTTTTCTTCAAAAAGGGCTGCTTTAGATTTCAAGAGAAATCTTGAACTTCACTTTGATGGGCAGTGAAGAAATTACAACATGTGAAAATGATCAAATAAAAATTTATTGACTTCAAACAAAAAAAAAAGAAATAATCCTCAGGAGTCATAAAAGTGGTTTATAAATGAAGTAACTTTTTGGGATGGGTGCTAGTGGCTCACGCTCGTAATCCTAGTTACTCAGAAGTCTGAGATCTGAGGATCCTGGATCAAAGCACCAAAACAGCTGAAGTGGAGCTGTGGTTCCAGTGGTGGAGCCCTAGCCTTGAGCAAAAGAACTTAGGGACAAAGCCCAGGTCCTGAGGTTAAGTCCCAGGAAAAAAGGGCACAAAAGAAAAGAAATGGAAAGCAAAGCAGAGCAAAGAAACAAATGTAACTTTTTGTGGTAGTACAGAAGTTTAAACTCAGAGCCTTGTGCGTCATACTCAGAAGATCTACCTCTTGACTCATACTTCTAGGCCTATAAAATATTACTTGATTAAAATTTAGAATGTGTTTTAGAGTAGATTAAAAGAAATTAAAAATTTGAAAACAGCATGGAATTTTACAATTAAATCATTATACAGAGAATATAATGTCATATTGTAAAATAAAATGATTAGGAGTTTGGCCAAATTTATAGTACTAGTCAGCAATAAATAATAATTACAGAGCCGGATGCTGGTGGCTCATTCCTATAATTCTACTTACTTAAGAGACTGAGATCTGAGGATGTTTATTCAAAGCCAGCCCCAGCAGAAAAATCCATGAGACTCTTCTCTCCAGTTAACTACCCAAAAAATGGCAGGAAATGGAGTTGTGGCTCAAGTGGTAGAGTGCTAGCTTTGAGCAAAAAGCTTATGGACAGTGCGCGCGTGCGCGCGCACACACACACACACACACACACACACACACACACACACAATATACTAATGATGAAGCTTTGATTCTAATTGTGATTTTTGCTAGTAAAATCTACTGTATATAATTAAGTATGGAATATATTTTTCCTAGAACTTTTACACTAAATATGTAAACATATGATCATATCCTCTGGAGACTATATAATTATTAGGAAGTAGAGAAAGTCTTTTTTAGTGGTGCTAGATCATTTCATGTCTGTGTTGTAAAGGACATAATATAGTTAGGGGCCTCATTCTTGTTTGGCAAGTGCTCTACTACTTGAACCACAGGTACAGTCCTTTTTGCTTTAGTTATTTTTTTCAGATAGGGTCTTGTGGTTTTTCCTGGACTACCATTTGACTATATGATCCGCAATACTCAGCTCTCAGCTTCGTGAGTGTCTAGGATTAGATGCATGAGCCACCAGCTTCTAGCCCCTACGTTTCTTTTTAAGTTGTGCTTCTGTTCCCAAAGGCCACTCTGGCATAATTCTTCTTTTTTTTTTTTTTAATTAAAAACGGTATGCTTAGGATCTGGAGGTTTGGATTAAAGGATAGAACACTTGCTTTGCAAGTGCAAAGTCCCTGAATTTAAACCCCAGTTACCACCAAAGGAACAAAACAAAGACAAAAACAAAAATCCTATACTCAGTAGGACATCTTTTTTTGTGGAGGGAAGGTAAAATACTCTGTGTGTGTGTGTGTGTGTGTGTGTGTGTGTGTGTGTGTGTTTGTGTGTGTGTGTGTGTGTGTTGGTATTAGGACTTTTTGACTCACAGCTTTGGGCTTTCACTTGTTTTTTTTTCCACTCAAGGCTAGTGTGATTTACCAATCGAGCCACAGCTCCATTTCCATTTTTTTGCTGATTAATTGGAGATAAGAGTCTCATGGATTTTATTGTCCTGACTGGCTTTTTTTCTCAAATCTCAGCCTTTCAAAGAGCTAAGATTATAGGTGTAAGCCAGTAGTACTTGGCTTTCAAATACATGTTTTTTTTTTGGTTGGTCATGGGGCTTGAACTCTGCGCCTGGGCACTGTTCCTGAGCAATTCAGCTCAAGGCTAGCACTCCACCACTTGAGCCACAGTGCCACTTTGGTTTTCTGAGTGGTTTCTTGGAGATAAGAGTCTCATGGACTTTTCCTGCCTGGGCTGGCTTTGAACCAAGATCTCAGATCTCAGCTTTCTGAGTAGCTAGGATTAGAGACGTGAGCCACCAGTGCCCAGCTCAAATACTTTTATTGAAGAACTGGGAAGTGAATCTAGAGGAGTTGAGCCTTGCAGTTATTGAAAGTTTGGAAATCTCATCTAATAATGTTGTCTTTGATTTAAATTGTTTTGCCATACCAGATAATAGAAAACAACCCAAGGATAACGAGCATAGTGCATAAATGTTCAGCTCACTAATATGTTCATATAGTAATCTGGATATATTTGCTCATGCCTAGTCTTTTATCTCTTTGTATAGGTACTTAAAACGATTTAAAGTCATGAAACCAAAGGTCTTAAGGAGCTGGTGCAGACAAATTTTAAAGGGGTTACAGTTCTTGCACACGAGGACTCCTCCTATTATCCATCGAGATCTGAAGTGTGACAACATTTTCATCACAGGACCCACCGGATCTGTGAAGATTGGGGATCTAGGACTGGCCACCCTAATGCGCACATCATTTGCTAAAAGTGTCATTGGTGATTAATATTTTACAGTTTACTGATTGGGTATTTGAGAGATTTCTCAGTTGTATAGGTCTAGAACAGAGGTGAGTCAACTCTGGCTCATGGGCCAAATTTGGTCCACTGCTTATTTTTATGAATCAAGTTTGATCAGAACACAGCTACACCCATTCATTTACAGGTTGTCTGTAGCTGTTTATCCACTATAGAAGTAAATAGTTGCATAGTCCATATGAACTGCAAAGTCTAAAATATTTACTATCTGATACTTCACAGAAAAATTTACCGTTACTGGTCTTGATTGTGAATTTGTTTTGAAATAGCTATTATATGTTCATTTATTTCACGGACATCTATATTTCTTTTGTAAGATATATGTCTGGATTATTGAAAGGTTCTGAGGATTTAAGGAAGTTTACTAAGTTAATCCAGAAAAAAATTGAACCAATAAGGACATAAATAAAATCAGGTTTGAAAGATTAAAACCTAGTCTTGTGTATTAGAAATTATATCAATATGGAAAAGTAAGGAGATTCTTTAAGTATTTTGTATAGATAATACAAATTTTAAATTTATGAACTTATGTTGGGGAGCAGAAATTGGCATAGTTAATTTCTATGGGAAAAGGAACTTTGGATGATATGTATTGCTTATTGAAAATGTGGTTGTGGTATATTGTAGGAACTCCAGAATTTATGGCTCCAGAGATGTATGAAGAACACTATGATGAATCCGTAGATGTCTATGCTTTTGGCATGTGCATGTTGGAAATGGCTACTTCAGAGTACCCTTACTCTGAGTGCCAGAATGCAGCTCAAATATACCGTAAAGTAACCAGTGTAGGTATAACTTTATTCTTTTACTTCACAAATTGCTACATTTTAGGTTGAAGCTAGTAAACCTGATTTAGTCTAATGTACTTTGGGGCTAGTGCTGTGGCCCAGTGATAGAATATTTGCCCAGTATGTTTAAGGCATGTATTTAAAATTCCATAATATTTAAAATTACATAATTTCTTTATATTTTTATTGATTGGTGGACAATTAAGTTGTTTCCATAGCTTGACTATTGAGGATAATGCTGCAGCAATCATCATAACAGTACAGATAGTCCTTCAACATGTTCCATGTTTTTAGCTTTTGTTGAGGAGTTTCCATTTGTCATAATAGTTGTAATAATGTACATTTCCTCCAACAGTATACGGGGATTCTTTTTTTTGCCAGTCTGGGGACTTGAACACAGGGCCTGGGCACTGTTCCTGAGCTTCTTTTGCCCAAGGCTAGCACTCTACCACTTGAGCCACATTGCTATTTCTGGCTTTTTGTGGTATTGAGGAACTGAACCCAAGGCTTCATGCATGCTAGGCAACTACTCTATCACTAAGTCACATTCCCGGCCTTCCTCTTCCTATATATGCTTTACTATCAAGCAATATCCCCAGTCAAAGGTTCCCTTTCTTTTCTTTCTTTCTTTCTTTCTTTCTTTCTTTCTTTCTTTCTTTCTTTCTCTTTCTCTCTCTTTCTTTCTTTCTGTCTTTCCTTTTCTCTTTCTTTCTTTCTTTCTTTTTCTTTCTTTGTCTTTCTGTCTTCTCTCTTCCTTCCTTCCTTCCTTCCTTCCTTCCTTTCTTTCTT